TGTAAGGGCCTTCTCTTACTGTGACAGTTTGTGGCCCTGTGCTTAGGCTCAGGCCTTTGGCTAAGCAGCAGAGGCAGCCATAAGCTGGGAAGCGACCGGTCACATCCTCACATTCCAAACTAGTCACATTGAAATAAGGTGCTATTGGGCTGTTAGGCACTATCAGGACAGGATTGTATTCCTATCACCTCCAGAGAAAGGGAAGTGCCTAGAAAATGTAAAAGGAAACTTAGTTTGATAGCATCCTGTCTGGCAAGAACTCACTTATCAATAGCTGGGATGTGAAATCCTCACTTCTGTATTGTTTTGTCATTATAGTTCCCACTTTGCTATTGTTTGTCTGTATAATCTCTGTCTGGTTCTGTGATTGTTCCTGTCTACTGTATAATTAATTTTGCTGGGTGTAAACTAATTAAGGTGGTGGGATATAATTGGTTACATAATCATGTTACAATATGTTAGGATTGGTTAGTTAAATTTCAGGAAAATGATTGGTTAAGGTATAGCTAAGCAGAACTCAAGTTTTACTATATAATCTGTAGTCAATGAGGAAGTGACTGGGGGTGGGTGTGGGTGGGCATGTGGGTGTGTGAGATGGGAATGGGGGTAAGAAAATTGGAATCATGTTTTGCTAAAGGGGGAGATGGGAACAGGGAATGGGGGTAAGAAAATTGGAATCATGTTTTGCTAAAGGGGGAAATGGGAACAGGGAATGGGAGTAAGGAAGTTGGAATCATGTTTTGCTAAAGGGGGAAATGGGAACAGGGAATGGGAGTAAGGAAGTTGGAATCATGTTTGGCTAAGGGTAGGAATGGGAACAGGGACACAGGTGTAAGGCTCTGTGGTGTCAGAGCTGGGAAGGAGGATACTAAGGAAGGAAACTGGAATCATGCTTGCTGGAAGTTCACCCCAATAAACATCGAATTGTTTGCACCTTTGGACTTCGGGTATTGTTGCTCTCTGTTCATGCGAGAAGGACCAGGGAAGTAAGTGGGTGAAGGAATAAGCCCCCTAACACTCACCATGTGATATATATATATATATATTTCAGTCGGAGTTAAGGGCACTCAACAAATCACAGGATTAGCTTTTACACACAAAGTATTGGACCGTTTGGCATCCGTGTACATCCAGGTCTGAGCTCTGCAAGGTAGTGAGTCCTCTGCGCACAAGAAGTTTGTAATCATAGACCTGTTCTGTCTGGTCCAAAGCTTTCTCTGTATCCATGGAGAAAACTGACATAGGGCTATAGATGATTTTGCTTTTTGAATTGTTTAGACTTTTTTTTTTCTATTTTTAGGCAGCAGACAATCCACTCAATGACACCTCCTTGGACTGGATTTCCTAGCTTTTTTGGATTGTGACAGTTAGAATGTTGGCTAATAATTGGCAGTCAGGGTTAATAAGTGACACTTGCCTATAGCGCCTATGGATGTAGCCCCCTTTCTCCTCCACCATCCTGCCTTTCCTAAAGAAAATTGCCTTTGCATTATGTACAGTCTCAGGCAGGCTGCTATGGATAGTTAAAATGTTTCTGTAAAATATAAGAAAAGTATGTTCTAAACTGAAAGTAGAACTCATAAGGAAATCCATCTTACTCTGGGGATTTCTCTTTTTACCCCCTTCTTTGACTACTTCCCCAATATCTTCCCTGGTGTTTTGGGTGGGTTACATTTAATTTGCTCTCAGCTTTCAGCTTCAGCATTATAATCAATAGTAGAAATATTCTCATTCTGCCAATGCCCCCATCAGAGGGTGACTGCCTTCCAAGCACCCCCTGCCTCGATTTCCCTGTTCTGAACACGAACAGTTACCATCTTCTCAGGGGCTGATCACCTGCCTGCATTCTCCACCATATGTTAGAAGATGGTCCCTTCCTGGGGTGCCTCCTAAAACTCTGCAACATGCCCACCTCAGTTTCCCCTTCAACGGTTCCCAGTAACTCCAATACAGAATATAAATAGTCCTTGATGAGGTTAATGTATTAAAAAAATTCCACAATCTGGAATTTCCCAGCACAATTCGAAGCATACATTCCATCTATCAAGTCCCAACAGTCCATCAACACGGCAGCTCCAGCTCCAGCACCTCTCACCGCACTCCAGCTTTCTGGTATTTCTCTGCCTCTCACCACGCTCCAGCTCTCCCACACCTCACCCCTGCCCACCTCCATATGGGGTGCTTCTCTGCCCTGCTGTTTCCTTTCCAGATATCATTCCAGCTCTTGCCCAGAGACATCAGCAGACTCATTTCTTCATCATTCCCCAGCCTTCAGCCCTCTCCAACACTTCCTGGCCTGGGAAAGATTACAAGTGACCCCCTTTCTTCCCACCACCTGCCGTTCTGCCTTTCGTTTTCACGAGCCTGGTCTGACTCCGCTGCTTGACCAGGGAACTCTCACTGCTCTTCTTCAGGGGTATCCCTTCCCTGAACCTCTCAACCCAGCTGTGCTCGTCTTCTGAGCTGTCCCTCCGGATTCCACGCTAAATGTGTGTTGGCAACCACTGTATACTATACTGAACGCACATTACCAGCTCCACACAGCCATCTGTGGCTACAATACATACTGGATGCAATTTTCTGCTCAATTATGGATTTCATATTGAAGTACTACTAACTCTCTTTTTTCCCTTTTATATAGTAATTATGCTGCATCTAATACCATAAGGAGAATTAAATATAAATAATGTTTCATGTTACATATTCAAACATTCATGTTAATGTTTCATTTACATATTCAAGACACATGTAAGAACATGCCCTACCAATAATCCAGCCTTACTAGTTTGTGTAAAAGTACACAGTAAGTCAGTCTCAACAGAGCAAAACTACAAATAAATCTAATAATGGCTCAACTTAGTTCATTTTTGATAAATATAGTCAAAGGTTAGAATTTTTATACTAACCGATATGAAGTACCCTGTGATTCCACCTTGAAAGATGAAATTCACAATGTGTTGTAAAAAGATGCCTCCAATATTTTGTAGACATCTAGAGAGTGCAGAAAATGCCATGCCCTAATTTGTGCTGTTGTGGAAAATTATCTATCAATCACTTTGTGGAAGCTCTGCAAACTCAAAAATAAGCAAGTTTTGAGTGTCTTTTCATTTTGCATAGAATATTTTGCAAAGCTCTAGAAAATTCTTTTGAGGGAGTTTGTTTTTGAAATCTAAGTTCAGCCTAAAAATACTTTCAGTATGAAGGCACAAGCCACCTCTGTATTTTTTTTAATAAAAGCATTGTTGCCTGGATGTTGAATAATAGCAAATTTTGGAGCCTGACAGCAGAACAGTTTCTCCTCTCAACAGAAATTGGTGGTGCAGACTCAGGATATTTTCTAGGGTAGCCTGTTTATTTACAGTGGACACAAGTCCTGGTTCTTTGAACAGAGGTAGTAACAAACCTCACACTGTCAATTTCCCCTTACAGAAACTTCAGCTAACACTCTACAGTACTGTCCTTTCATTAAGAAGCTGTTTTCTTAGGCCTCTGACTCCCTTAGACTCTCATTCTGCTTAAACAGACTGTTCCTTACCCCTACCTTAGTCCCTGGCCTTTCTACCTGGGTAACCCAAGCTATTCACCTAGGACTACATACGCTGGAGAGATGGTCTGGCCATTATCCCTCTTTTTGTGCAGCTGCTTCGCAGCAGGAAGAAACCCAAGAAAAAGTTTCACTGCCTAACCAAAGGTTGCCTATCCTACACAATCCCCATAACAGTTTGTTTGGGTGCAATGTGAGTTTCATCCTGGGTTCTTATACAGGAACTCCTCACTTAAAGTCATCCTGCTTAACGTTGTTTTGTTGCTGATCAATTAGGGAACATGCTCGTTTAAAGTTGTGCAATGCTCCCTTAGAATGTTGTTTGGCAGCCGCCTGCTTTGTCCACTGCTTACAGGAAGAGCAGCCCGTTGGAGCTAGCTGGTGGCGGCTTGAAGCCAGGGTGGACTGACAGCCCCCCTATCAGCTCCCCGCTCCCTTAAATTCCCTGTGCAGCTGCTCAGCAGGCTATCACTTGCCAGCAGTTCAGCTGTCCCTCCCCCCACTACCATGTGCTGCTCCTCTGCCTTGGAGCTGCTCCCCGAGACTCCTGCTTGCTGTGTGGGGGGAGGGGAAGAAGAGGGGGGCTAATGTCCTCCTCCCCCCTGCTCCTGCACCCTGCTTACCCCATCTTCCATAGAGCAGGGGGGACACACAGACGGAGGAAGCTGCTGCCTTAAGCAGCAGCTGCCCTCTTGTCTCAGCTTGCTGATCTAATTAACAAGGCAGTGTACTTCTGACCCGACTCTTCATACTTAAAGGGGAAATGTGCATCTCTGTCTCTCAAACACACACAGGGTGTGTGTCTCTGTCTGCCCTCCCTCCCTTCCTGCTGTCTTGTAGAGTGTGAGAGTTAACCCTTGAGGGCACAGCCAATTGCTAGTTCATCATTTAGCAGTAAGGCATTCCCTCGGAAATATCCCACCCTCTGACTTCTCCACCTCAACCAAGCTTCACAATCATCATCACTGTGTACCATTATTAAATTGTTTGTTTAAAACTTATACGAAGTGGGTATTCACCCACGAATACATCTGTTAGTTCATAAGGTGCCACAGGACTCTTTGCCCCATATATATATGTATATATATATATATATAGTATTTTGTCTGGTGAAAAAAATTTCCCTGGAACCTAACCCCCTCATTTACATTAAGTCTTATGGGGAAATTGGATTCGCTTAACATGGTTTCGCTTAAAGTCGCAGTTTTCAGGAACATAACTACAACGTTAAGTGAGGAGTTCCTGTATCTCAATGTGTAGAACATTAGCATCTGTTGCCACAAGACTATATTGTAATATTCACCCTTTTAAAGCATCTTGACCTCTATTAAGACTATTGGAATGGCAATTCATGTTCTCCTGTAAATTCCACAAACATATTATCTTTAACAAAGCTGACTGAAGTTTCCATCACTTTAAAGTATTTGCACAGTTTGATCCAAGAAGAAAACCAAAAGACTGTTGCAATTTATTGCACAAATGATTGGAACTTATTTATGAGGCAAAAGATTAGGAAATCAGAATAAAATTCAAATGAGCACATAATTTTGTATTACAGAACACATGGTGAAATGAAATCCCTCATGGTGGAGTGTAAGGGTCTCCAGTGGAGGCCGGTGAATCAAATTGCAGAAACCATTTATTTGCCAGATTTCGCCCTCATGTCCGATCACAAATTGTCCATGGGCAGATTGAGACTTTTACTGATTTGTTCGCTATTTGCAACAGTTTGATAAATGTTTTGTGCAAACAAATGTCAATCTATGGATTGCTAGTAAACTGTTCACTGTGAGTATTCATTCACATTGTCAATATTCAGTATCTGAGCTGTGTGACGGACCAGCATAATGCCTTTTATCTGATTGGCTGACCTAATCTTTATGAACAAATGTATTAGATTTTCATCCATGGTGTGGGATAGGGACAAGAGTTTTGACTGCACAAGCACACTGAAGAAATCTTTCTTTAATTAAATAAAGTTTTTGCCTGAAATACCCCAGCCTGTTAGCAGGTGTTAACCCTTTCATGACAGAATCAAGTAGTTCATTGTACCACCTAGATATGAGGGAAGTGAGTGTGGCTCTCTGTAGAAAAACTGTGTGGGATATCTAGTTCTGAGGGAAGGACCATTGAGCATCCAAGCATGGACAGACACTTTAAACTGCACTTCATTTAAAATCCACTTCATTGTGGATAAATTGGAGAGAGTCCAGCGAAGGGCAACAAAAATGATTAGGGGTCTGGAACACATGAGTTATGAGGAGAGGCTGAGGGAGCTGGGATTGTTTAGCCTGCAGAAGAGAAGAATGAGGGGGGATTTGATAGCTGCTTTCAACTACCTGAAAGGGGGTTCCAAAGAGGATGGCTCTAGACTGTTCTCAATGGTATCAGATGACAGAACGAGGAGTAATGGTCTCAAGTTGCAGTGGGGGAGGTTTAGATTGGATATTAGGAAAAACTTTTTCACTAAGAGGGTGGTGAAACACTGGAATGCGTTACCTAGGGAGGTGGTAGAATCTCCTTCCTTAGAGGTTTTTAAGGTCAGGTTTGACAAAGCCCTGGCTGGGATGATTTAACTGGGAATTGGTCCTGCTTCGAGCAGGGGGTTGGACTAGATGACCTTCTGGGGTCCCTTCCAACCCTTATATTCTATGATTCTATGATTCTATGTTGTAGTAATGTTAATTTCTATGTTAACAAAGCCAAGCTCCACGAATTGCTGAGCGTGGATTCTAGTGTGTGAAGTTTTAGTTTAAGACCATGTTGGAAAGGGCATTTGCTCACATGTTCTCACTGTCTCTTGCTGGTAGAATCTCTGATGAATTTTCAGTCCTGTTTGGGGTCATTAGATAGATATTTGCCAACCAACATCTTTCTACTGGTTTCTTTCTTTGTGGAGTTTGACTGCTGAATCGTATTGCATTGTCAATAAGTCATTGCAGATTTTTTGAACAAATTCGTTTAATTCGTCGTTGTTCCCTATTTACATGATTTTATGTGAGTTGCATAGCTTTTGTAGCTTAGTTTTTTGGGTTAATCTGTTAGTGAGACCTTCAGATAAATGACCTTCAGATAAATGCATCTTATCCCATCCTGGCATTCTAACACCTTCTCCCCTTCCTTCAAACATTTTAAGTTAATTTTTCAATTCCTCATTTTATTTTCAAAATATCAGTTACACAGAGCATTGCTTAAGCATGGAGGTGTAGAAGGTAGGGGGGAAAATAGCAACAAAAATTCTAGTTGGCAAAGGACATGAGTATAATTACATTATAAACTCAATTATCCAAATTGCTCTATTATATGAAAAGGTTCTGTGACCAACCTTCTCTGACACGCACACGATTTTCATACTGAAATAGAAAAACCTCAAGATGTTTGTTTTCATATTGCTAACTCTTGGCCTTTTTACTTCTCACCCAGTGCCCCATGTTGCAGTAACCTTCTGTTTGGTGAACATGGCTGGACATGGCTTTTTCTGGAGCATTGTTTACCTGCCAGCTGGTGTCTCTAGGGAGCAGTGCATCCTTGCACCACACAAAATGGCTGAGGGTGGAGTGGGAGAAAGATTCCCTTACAGCTTTTATGCCACTAGTTAGGGCCCTCATCTGGAATGTGGGAGATCCTGATTCAATTTACCCCCTCCCCTTGGTTGATCAGAAGAAAGGATTTGAACAGGGGTTCTCAAGCTCTCAGGTGAGAGCCCTAACTGTTGGACTATAGAGTGATTCTCATTCTTTCTCTGGCCCAATTAATACTGAATGATTTAATGAAAGTGGAGCGACTTCAAGCCATGGAGAAAGCCCCACATCAGAATGTCCCATAGCCCAGTGGTTAGGACACTCCCTTGAGCAGCGAGGAACCCTTGTTCAAATGCCTTCTTATAAGGCAGAGGAGGAAACTCAACCAGGGTCTCCCACCTCCTGAGTGAACACCTTAAACGGTGGGCTAAAGGGAGGACTCCTCTCTCCTGGCCATTTTGTGAGGAGTGAGACACGCTCAGAGCACACCTGGCAGAGGAATGCCTATCTTCTCCTGCACTGGATTGCATTGGATTGCCCTGGAGCTTCAGTGAGAGACAGGCATATGGATGCCTAGAGAAAGGCAGCATTGTGCATGTTCAGTAGCGGAAACTTAGATACCTAGGGAACTTTTACAGCAAAAACGTAGGCACCAAGTGAATTTAGGCACCTACAGGGTTAGGCAGCAGCTGAGCAGGGGTTTTGTGGATCACAGTGATGCCCACAACAGGGACTTAGGTGCCTAATCTGAGCTGTAGGCACCTAATCCTTTTGTGGATCTGGCCCTAAATACTGATCTCTTACATGACTGTGCATTGCACTGCCACTAGAACATAAGGTTATCCCTAGAATACTTTTAATTTCAATCAGTTACATGACCAAGTCAAGCAACACAACACGCATTTCAGTTTGGTTTGGATCATTGATTTTCCACTGTGCCTGACTTATAAAATGCTTACAGTGCGAGAAAAAGAAAAATCTGCCCAATTTCATTTGTCTTCAACAGGTGCAAAGCTATTGTCTTTGGAGAGGGTGGGGGGACATCCTGCTGATTTATTTCTGCATATGTTAATGACTGTAGAACATTACATGGGAGTTTCTACAAGACTGGCTAGGAAACTTGCTGCTTCTTCTTCATTGCTTTATCTGGAAGAGAAGGGGAATTTCCTTGCATGAAATCAGGGTGTAAACCAAATCCTGCTGGCATAAATCAGAGGGCTGAGCAAGTATTTACCTGTAAATTTCAGCTTCATACCTGAGGAGAGCCTCCTACAAAAATCACAAAACAATGTATTAAACATTTCACCAATACTGGAATGAAAATTGTGCCTGTTTATATAAGTGCTACATTATACCCTTCTCTTTATTTGCCCATAACACCAACACAAAATAAAAAGAATGATATAAAAGGACAGAATTTAAATGAACAACCAGTAAACAATCCTGAAGTCCATGAACATGAAGTCATGTCTCATTTAAATGTCTGTTTTGTATTACTTCTTACTCAATCTTTTTGTCAGACAATCTAAATTATTTGGAATCTGAAAAACACTGGGTTGTTTAAGTCACCAAAACTAACCAAGGAACTTTTTCAATTGTACATGAAATTCACCTGGGAAGATTTCTGAACTTAGATGAAAAATATCTAAGGTGAGAACATACCTACCTGTAGCATTTTTTTCATGTCTAAAATAATCTGGTTTTTTGCACTGTTTCATTGGAGAAATATAAATACCTATACATGGGGTTTGGTGTATAATCTGACACAATGTATCTGACTTTCATTAATTTTGCAAGCCTCTTTCTTCATATTTATGTACAAGTTATTTTCTAAAATATAATGTAAGACATACAAATGTTTTAAAGATTCGCATCAAGAATTTCAGCAACATTACAGCTCGCAATGTGAAACTGTAAAGATACAGTCAAGCTTTTCACGTGATAAGGGATACAACGATGACCTCAAGGTCTGTGGTAAGGTTATGCAACAGGAGAATTGCTAAACCATTTGAATGGAAAATTAATGGAGAAAAATAAAAAAATCAAACCGATCTTGAACTCATGGGCAGTGGGTGAACTGGCCATTGGGGGAGGCTAGCTCCTGGCCCCTTCCCTTCCCTTCTCCCCTCCCCCAGGCCCTTCCCCTGCCGGAGCCCAGAGCACAGTCACCACAGCTGCTGGCCCTGCGCCCCCTCCAGCCCTGGGCTGCCCCAGAGCCCCCAACCCAGCTCCAGAACGCGGGGCGGACACCAGCCAGCCCCAGCCTCCCTGAGTCCCAGGCGGCAGGCTGTCCAGCCCTAGCACCAGCCCCAGCCTAGACCACAAAGAGCAGGAACTCAGGCACTTCCGGGGGTGGAGTGTGGATGGGGCCACACAAGGCTGTTTGGGGAGGCTCAGCCTCCCCCGGCCTATGATGCCTGCCACCCATGCTTGAACTTAATCTCCTCTTCTGCCCAATAGTTCCCACCTGGAAAACTAAACTAGCTATAGTTGGATTTTGGCTTTATATACTTCATATGGCGACACCTGCAAGTATTCTGTCCCAAATTTTGGAAAACATTTCTAACACAACTTAGATTGCATCCACAAATGAACAGAAAAGTCAGTGAAGAGATCGGCGCATCATGTTATGTGCTCATAGTAGCCTGCTCCATTCAAGAGGAGAGCAAATGCACTCTGCACCAACTGGGGGTCTAGGAAGTGATCATCAGGGTAGCCCTAGGTTTGAGCACAGTACAGTCAACTAGCTGGAAGGTGACAAAAGCACTATGTCCATATGGTCATCACATCTACAGCAGAGAGTAGTGCTGGCTGGTCAGTCACAGATGTTAAATTCTATTCATGTTTCTATACTGCATCCATCTCCATGATATCTGAGTGCCAAATAAAAAATACTGTGGGCCACCACAGCTAGCTGAGAATCTTGAAGCAGTGATGGATGCAGCTGAGAGCCAACATTATAAATCATTTTAGCAACATCTTCAGTTAGTGGAGATTCCATCTTAATTGCTTCATTATCCACATCTCTATATCAGCTAGACATAGGTCAAGAATCTCTCCATTAGCATTAACCTTCCATGAAACAAATAGTTATATAAGAACATAAGAACCGCCATACTGGCTCAGACCCTGGTCCATCCTGCTCAGTATCCTGTCTCTGACAGTGGCCCATATCAGAGCTTCAGGGGGACTGTACAGAACAGGCCATTTATGGAGTGGTCCACCCCTGTCTTCCACTCCTGGCTTCTGGTACTCAGATGTTTCGGGTTGCCGCGAGCATGGGGTTGCATCCGTGGCCATCTTGGCTAATAGCCATTGATGAACCTATCCTCTGTGAACTTATCCAGTTCTATTTTGAACCTAGTTATACTTTTGGATATCACAACATCCCAATGCACTGAGTTCCACAGGTTAGTTGTGCAAAGTGAAGAAAAGTACTTCCTCTTGTTTTTATGAGACCTGTTGCATATTAATTTCATCAGGTGACCCTTAGGTTTTGTATTGTGTGAAAGGGTAAATAACACTTCACTTTTTTCATGCCATTCATGATTTTATAGGCATCTCTGATATCCCCCCTTAGTCATCTCTTTTCTAAGCTGAACAGCCCTAACCTTTTTTGCCTCTCCTTGCATGGAAGTCTTTCCATAACCTTGATAATTTTTGTTGCTCTTCTCTGAATCTTTTCCAGTTTCACTATATCCTTTTTGTAATGGGGCAACCAGAACTAGACAGAATATTCAAGGTGTGAGTGCACTATAGATTAAATAGTGGCATTATGGTATTTTCTCTCTCTTTCCTAATAACATGTTGTTAGCCTTTTTGACTGCTGTACCGCATTGAGTGGAAGTTTTCAGAGAACTATCCATGGTGTCTTCAAGATCTCTTTTTTGGATAGTAAGACCTCATTCAGAACCCATCATTGTATATGTACAGTTGAGATTATTTTTTTCCATTTTGCATTACTTTGCCATTATCAACACTGAATTTCATCTGCCCTTTGTTGCCCAGTCACCCAATTTTGTGAGATCCCTCTGTAACTCCTCACCGTCTGCTTTGGACTTAACTATATTGAGTAATTTTGTATTGCCTACAAACTTTGCCACTTCACTGTTCACCCCCTTTGCAGATCATTAAGTAATATGTTGAACAGCACAGGTCCCAGTACAGAACCTTGGGGGACATTGCTGTTCACCTCTTTCCATTGTCAAAACTGACCATTTATTTCTTCCCTTTTCCCTTGTCTTTCAGTTAGTTATTGATCCATGAGAGGACCTTCCCTCTTATCCTATGGCTTCTTAGTTTCCTGAAGAGCTTTTGGTGAAGGACTTCAGAATCCTTGGATAAATACCATCTGGTTCTGGTGACTTATTTCTGTTTAGTTTATCAATTTGTTCTAAAAGCTCTCCTATGGACACATCAATTTGGGGCAATACTTTAGATCTCCTATGGACACATCAATTTGGGGCAATACTTTAGATTTGTCACCCAAAAAGAAAAGCTCTGATGTGGGTTTCTCCCCCACATCCTGTGCAATGAAGACTGACCCAAGAATTAATTTAGTTTCTCTGCAATGGCCTTGTCTACCTTGAGTGCTCCTTTAACATGTTTGTCATCTAGTACCCCAATTTCCTGCTTCTGATGTACTTTAAAAAATTCTTACCGTTAGTTTTTGAGTCTTTAGCAAGTTGCTTCTCAACTTCTCTCTTGGCCTGCCTAATTATACTTTTACATTTTACTGGCCCAAGTTTCTCCACCTATTCGCCTCATTAAGATTTGACTTCCAAATTTTAAAGGATGCCGTTTTGCCTCTAATGACATCCATTATTCCATATCCGTTCTCCATATAGCTAACAGGTGGTTCATCACAGCCATCTAAACACATTCAAAACTTCAGGAAATGAAAACCAACCGAAGACAATGAGTTGTTCTCATACTATTACCAGAGAAGTAGTCAGGTCAGTCCAGAACTCAGTAATTTTACATGCTAAATAAGTCAACAAATCATCATAGTGAGAAATATTGACTATCGGTGAGTTGATAGGTTAATTAAATTGCCCACTATGCAGACTGTTCATCTTTTTTGGGATATCACAGATGCAGGGGTCAAAAGAGAGAAAAACTCTCTTTGCCTTAACCACTGACCTAGCATAGGAACACAAATCCTCCATGGTGCACATCAATCAAATTCAAAGCAGGTCTTTCTCCCCTAAGCAGCATCTGTCACAGCACATTTGTTTAGTAATGATCTGCAAGGAGAAAGTTGGTGAAGAAGGTGTCCAAGTGCCACTGCTCACATACATATGTTAATGGTTCTACGAGTCCATCAGATCAATGACAGCGTGGCCCAATGGCTGAGTAGCAACCTTGCCAGAATATTCTGTATCCTTACTGGTCCTGTATCTTCATGGGCAGGCCGTATTTTAAGGACACTTCAGAAAAGACAGAATTTAAATTACCTAGAATTTTCAAAGCACAACTTAGTGTAATATGAAAAACTAGCTAAAAAACTAAAATTTTCTACCTTTCTTTAAATGAGACAGCTTTGGTCAAGACCTTTGTGTTGTTTAATGATAATTTAAGGAAATTAAACCCTACTTTATTTAAGTTTGAGGCCATATCTACTTGGAGAAACTGAGTAGCATAGCTGTAGTGGAATATTATTTCACTATAGGTATGCTGGTATAACTTCTCCATGTGGATTCTATTTTTATTATTATAATATATAAATAATAATAATATAGTGAAATAATATTAAATAATTATTCCCCTACCCTCATGTGGACATTATAGTGAAATAATGTCCACATGAGGGTAGGGGAATAATTATTCCACTGTAACTATGCTTATCAATTTCCCCATGTGGACAAATCCTAAAACTAAATCTTAACTATGGAGCTGCTAATGCACCTCATCAATGCTCTTAAACTCTTTGGTTTGCCCTCATACAGAGGTTCCCAAAGTGACTCAGCTGTTTACATGGTATTGGCTCTAGTTGTTTCCAGCTGCTAAATTGTATTAAAAGATTATATTGCATGTATTTGTATCTATTTTAAGATTACTGTAGATGATTGATGTACTTGCCCCAAGAAATTTCACATAATTATACGTGGGTGATCCATGAGAGTGGGAAGAGAGGTGGGCCATATGATCATAAACAGAAAGGGAGATAAGACAGTATCTCTAATAAGATATGGTCTACCCAATGGAAAACATTTGAAAATCCCTGCCATAGTATTTTACATTTTCTTAAATACAACAATCCAGCAAGCCATTGTTGTGTCCAGTTTTTATGTCTCTTCTGTACACTGGTAAGATATAAGAATAATTTGTGCAATACGTTTTATTATATTCTCATTATTTTCTTGCCATGTGCCATCCCCAGTATTAACTTTTAATTTATTTTCCCAGATCTCTCTACTGCTATGTTTGATCACTATATGAACAAAAAGTACTTCTCTGGATTGTGGTTTCTTTTAAGAAAATGTATTGTTTCTGAAGTGTTAGAGCAAACCAGTGCAGGACCCTGCATGTTTCTAATGCAAATGTTACATTTATAGGATCAGTTGCAATTTGAAACCATGGCCACTTTTGCTCCTTTGGGGCAGATAACTTGCTTAGTTGTATCATCCACCGACCGCTTGACCCAACTGGATTTTGGAGTTCTTCAAAATGTTAGGACCCCAAATAGGCGTTAAGTGGGACTTAAATGATACATAGGTAGGGCCCTACCAAATTCAGGGTCCATTTTGGTCAGTTTTGTGGTCATAGGATTTTTAAAATTGTAAATTTCACAATTTCAGCTATTTAAATCTGAAATTTCATTGTGTTGTAATTGTAGGGGTCCTGGCCCAACAGGGAGTTGTGGGGGGATCGCAAAGGTTATCGTGGGGGGGGGGGGGGTTACAGTATTACTACCTTTATTTCTGTGCTGCTGGTGGCGGTGCTCCCTTCAGAGCTGGGCAGCGAAGCCCAGCCCTGAAGGCAGAGTTGCTGCCAGTAGCAGCGCAGAAGTAAGGAGGGCCTGGTATGCTATTGCCACCCTTACTTCTGTGCTGCTGCCAGCAGAGCTGGACTCTCAGTCAGCAACTGCCACTCTCTGGCCGCCCAGCTCTGAAGACAGCAGTGCAGAAGTAAGGGTGGCAGGGTGTGGTATTGCCAACCTTATTTCTGTGCTGCTTCTAGTGGGGTGCTGCCTTCAGAGCTCGGCACCTGGCCACCAGCCACTGCTCTCCTGCCATCCAGCTCTGAAGGCAGCGCAGAAGTAAGAGTGACCATACCGCAGCCCCTCTAAAATAACCCTGCAACCCCCCTGGAACTCAATTTTGGGTCAGAACCCCCAATTTGAGAAACGCTGGTCTCCCCCATGAAATCTGTATAGTATAGGGTACAAGCAGACAAAAGACCAGATTTCATGGTCTGTTACGCATTTTTCATGACTGTGAATTTGGTAGTGCCCTATACAAAGGTTTTGGTCTAATCCTCTGTACAGAGGTGAATAAATTTCACCCTTAGGGAGTATATACTGTTATACCTAAGGGTATTTTTTGATTAACTCAGTTAAACACATCTGGTCTTTACACACTGGCTATCACAATACCAGGTTCACTTTCAAGATATTTAAAGAAGAGTGAATATCTTATGATCTTTTCAATTTTCACTAGGCAATTATTTTAGAATTTTGGGATTCTTGGACAACACCTTTATAATGGGTTGAACCAAAACAGCAATCTTAAACCCAATCCCAATATTAGGATTTGAGATAATCTCTATACATGATACATAAAAAGCTACTTGCTCACTTTATTCTCTCATGTACTCCCACTGAGGTGGATGAAAGGGCTATTTGTGCATACCAGGTGAGGAGGACTTGCGCTCTACAGGAGATTGGTAAAAACAAGTATTCACTGATTTTCTTTTTAAAAATTATGTTAAAATCCTCTGGATCTTGATGATTTTTCATTGCATAATATTTGTTAATGTTTCACCTATCTTAAAAGCAAAACTGCAAGCATTTTAGAAAAGGGCTAGATGTAAAAATTTAGGGTGAAATCCTGGCCCTATTGAGGTCAAAGATAAAACTCCCATTGACTTAAATGAGGAAAGAATTTCACCCTTCCTCTTTCTGCTACTTCTGTAAGCAGCTCTGTGGAAATCCTTCATATGCTTTTTTGTAACTTAAATATAATATGCCTCAGTGAATCACAACAAATATCACAATTGCTTTCTACAGCAATGGCACACTAGGGGGACTATTTCTCTGTTGTGGAAGCACACTAATGTTAAAAAATAGCAACACGTACTGACCCTTTCCTACGCTGCAACTAATTGGTCCTACAAACAGATTTAAGCAAGCCATCTAAAAAGCAGTAAATATTTTTTTGTGTGCACAAACCTTAGTACTACCAACAGAGATGACCAAGTATACCTGTTTATTCACTTATTTAAAAAAACTTATTTAGAGTTTCCCCTAAAATACAATTATGGGATATTTCAATTTTAAAAAAACAAATTTAAAGTCATCATGAGAAATATTATGCATAAGTAAAACAGCAAATCTTGAAAACTTACTCTTTTGGAGAATACTTTCTCATGTAGAAGGTGTTTTGTTTTTAGAAAGTCTCTCTCCCTCTTGGGATGAAGGAGTTTGTTTGTATATATTTCTTTCAGAGTTTGTATATATTTATCACATTTAAAATCCTTCTGATACTCTTCCACCTAATTTTAATTCATACCACTGTCACATGCTAACTCATATTTACGTCTTTCTCAACCCAAAGATACATCACTCCTCATCCACAAAGGGAAAAGGAGTACTTGTGGAACCTTAGAGACTAACAAATTTATTTAAGCATAAGCTTTCGTGAGCTACAGCTCACTGCTTACTCTTGAAAGAGGTGAACTTTATCTTTAACTTTTCCAAGCTAGTCACTAAAACTTTTAATTATTTTTTATTTATTTTGTCAGGACAGTTTCAGACTTGCAAGGAGGATCCTCCCGTTGGGTTAAATTCAATGCAGTTTTTATAATTTCTTGTTATAGCAGTGAAGGATTTTTCTGTGGGTTTAAAAGAGACAGGCAAAATTTCATTTTTTATAGCTTTTATTCAAATAGCCATAACTTGACAAGCCTGCACATAGTATTGAAAGGAAAGCTGTCCCCTCCAAACCAACAGAGACAACTCTATTTCCTTCAACTTCCAGCTGCTGTTCTGCGCCTGCAAAATCAAACTTCTAAAATCCATGTTTGCAAAAAAATAACCAACCGACCAGAAACCCCCACAACAACACACACTTTCCACAAAACTTCTTGTTGGGTTTTGCTTTAAATGGACAGTGTTCACGCAGAAGACTTTTCCAAGAAGAAAGTTTCTTACCCTCTCTGGTTCCTCTCTAGGGCCTCCTCCAACTTCACCTCCTTTGGCAGCTATGCATCCACCCCCGTAGTTCCCCTTAGCCAGGCTGCCTGTAAAGCAGACATAGGCTGTACCATCCTCCGAACTACAGATCCCAGGATCCCTCTCCAAAGCCCAACAACCTTCCTCCCCCCTCCCTGCCCTTGTTGGAGGAAAAGGCTCTGGCTGAGTTTCAGAGAAGGTCTCAGCTCCTCCACTGTGGACGGGGCGGGCCGCAGAGGCCACCGGTGGGGAGGCAGGGAAAAGGGTAAGGGGTGGGGACACTGCGCTCAACTGACAGCAGCAAAGGCCGATGGTGAGGGTAGAAGAGGCAGGACACTTGAACACCAGCGCAGATCCCTCCCACCCGGGCTAAGAGGGAGGGACCCCTCCTCCCACCCGTGCCCAGTAGTCGCTGAGGCCGGGGTTCCCCCTCCCTTCCAAGTCTCTGCCTTCGCTCGGTCGAACTCTGCTGGGAGCAAGATTCCAACCCTCCCGCCCCTCTCAAGTCCCAGCGCTGCCGGGGTGGAACTTTGCCGGGCTCCACGTTCCAGCCCAGCCGGGAGGGGGAAGCAAGGGACACAAGCGCTGCCCGGCCGATTCCCGCCCCCCTCCCAGCGCAGCAGCTGAGGGGGAGGAAGGAGGCGCGCTAGGCAGCGGCGCTGAGATTTGCCAGGCAGGCAGCAGAGGAAGAGCAGCAAGGGAAGCCCCCGTGGTCCGTCCTCGCGAGCCGGCTCTTGCGGCAGCCCGCAGGAGCGAGCCTGGCAGCGCTGCGGCGGGGTTGTTCCCCGGGACGCGGGCGTTGAAGTTGCGGTGGCCCAGGCGGGGCGGCGGCCGCTGCTGCTCCTCTGCCTGCTGTTTGTGTGCCTCGGTGGCCGGAGAGGGAGAGCCGCCCACCTCCGTCCAGCTTCCCACTCCGCTCCCCCGGCTCGGGCTGTTTGTGTGGGAGACACCCACTCCTCCTTCGTTCCCTCCCCCCGGCCGCCTCCTCCCCTTCCCCAGAGCCGGAGGAGGCCGGAGCGGGCGAGGTGCGGTTGCTGCTGTGGCTCTGGGGCTCTCTCGGCCCGGCACGGCCGCGCCGCTGCTACGGACAGAGGAATCCCCCCAGCGGGAAGGCGGCGCAGCCATGAGCGGCGGGGAGGTGGTTTGCTCGGGCTGGCTCCGAAAGTCCCCGCCGGAGAAGAAGTTGAAGCGATACGTGAGTGCATTCACCGTACGGCTTATCCCCTGGCGGGCTGGCGTCCCTCCCCCTCCTCGCCCTGCCTCGCTCTCCTACGCCCCGCGCCTCTCTCCAGTCCCGGCTGCCTTCGCCCCTCTCTGCCCGGTTCTCCTTCCTCCCCGCCCGGCACCTCTCCTCGCTGCCCTCCTCCCTCTGCCCTTGCTCTCTCCCGAGCTGTAGCATGGTGGAGTTGCTGTGTTGACAACAGAGACTTTCTGTCGACTGGCACCGCACAGCCTCTTTGGCTTTCACACCACATTTTTTTTTTTTAACTGCCAAGTACGCAGTTCAGTTTGCTGTCAGTTAAGAAAGGACCCTGAGCGGCCAGATCTTTTATCTTGATTTTATTGCCTTGCTAAGGGAGCGTGGGGCGGAGTTGTTCCCTTTAGATCCTCTAACTTACGTCTTTTAAATGTAAACACTGGCCAGCCTTTTCCAAGAGCCGCTGTACAGCTCACTCAGTGGGGCTGGAGGAAGATAAAACCCTAGTTCATCGGTTGATATTACAAATAGAAAGTTGTTCCTTGCAGAGCAATTGCCCCAGTTTGTGCAACTGTGATCTTTCCTACAGGTATCTGAGAAACACTTTTCCTCTCCTCCCGAGTACAGCTCACATGAGGGAACCTTTCCCCTTCAGAAACCCCTGGCTTACAAATTGAAAAGAAAAACAGTGTTTCTTTTTTATAGAATTCTGCCATTGCTCATCAGTAAATATTCTAACAGACTATAGCAGAGATGACATTTAAGTTGCATGAAAATGGTGCTTGTTTGCTGAGAGGGCGAAGTTCTTGACACAGGAACAGCAATGCTGTCCCAGCTCCATAGGCTTTCGGAGACGCTGTCAAGTCACGTAGGAGGGATGGATGGTGCCAGAAGTGATCTTTCTTGAAGTCCTTACCATGGCACCAAAGTGGCTTGCATGGTATCTGCATAATTGGTACAAGACGCTATTTCTTCACTTAGCCATTTTTAGGTTTCATTTAAATAGAAAATGGACTTTGAACGTGCCACTTCTATGGAAGCAGACAAACTACTTGAGAATCAGCAAACACAGGTTGTCATGTCAGAATATTTATTTTATTTATTGATGTCTTCATGACCACTTTCCAAAGAGGAAAGACAGAAGCGAAGTTTAGTTGCTGTCATTGAGTTTTTAAATGACAAGGAGTTGATTAAACAAGACTTTCCTGTGTTTTAAAATAAAAGCTATTTCAGGCCCCAGTCCTGTCCTACTAGAGTGAATGGCAAAAACCCCTTTGACTATAGTATTGCAGGATCAGATTTTCAATGAGAATATTGTTGTGATGTATAAAACCTGTATCTCTTTCCTACAGAATTGGGCACTGGGTCTATACAGGTATTCATTTTTTTGAATGTGTGCATATTTGTAAGTACTGTTAGGGCACTGGTAAAAGTATAGTATCATAATTATTTCAGTGGCAGTGATTGAGGTATCAAGTGATCTAATAAATCTTTTAAGTTTGACTAGTTTTCTGCAGGAACAGTAAAATCGCACACACACACTGTCTCCTGATGGAAGAAGTTATTAACAGTTAAGAGCTTGATAAAATAAATCATAGTTAATCCTACTCAAGAGGTTGTACTTTTCCATATTATTGAGGTTTTTTTGAATGCACTAGTGGCTGCACTGCTAAATTAAAATAATGCACATTGCATTAGAAGAAAACTCCAGTGAATAATAAATACTTAGCTGTCTAATGTATTATAACTGAATATACATACGTGTCAGACTCTCCAGTCAGTGGGACTGTTGTCCTTCTCGGGGATCTGCCATCTTAATCCTACTGTCCAACAGAAACTCTGTTTAATCTACAGTAGGCTTGAAACAGTTTCCATTGGCATTAAAAAAAAAACGTAAATCTCACTTTAAGACTTGATGTAAGTTCCATATTGTTGTAAAAAATGCTGGTTAATTTAACTATTTAGAAAATTAAGTTAATGAAAAGATCACTCAAGATATTTGTAGTGATTATACTCTTCTTTTTAATTAAATATAGCAATAGGATATGTTCCTGAAAAGTAGTCATCCCTGTGTTTTCAGTTAATATCACTTAGAAATTTAAGATCAGCTTTTTGAGGCTATACAGAGTGAAGATGGAATGTAGGGGGTAAAGGCAAGCTTCCAGTAACTTTACTGTAGCTCAGTTGGTACCACTCTTGCCTGGACTGTAGGACAGAAAGCCATAAGTTTAGATCCTACAACCATATTCACTGACATGACAGCAACAGAAGGGGAGGTACTGTCTAGGGGATAGGTTAAAATAAGTTTCCTTCTGCTTGTCTCTGGTGCCTGGTGAATTGTAGATTAAAGATTCTCAAGTCCATGTTTGTAACCTTGATATCATGATCAAGGTTCTTTGCCCAAATAAAAAGGCTGTTAGTAGAAATTCACAGAGTTGGACCTAAGTGCACTATAACTGACGCAGATTTGTCTATCCTCACTATAACTAAATCTTTGTGAAGCAGTATGAAAAAAAGTTATATAAAGCTGCGTTTTGTATTGGTGACACTTCAGAAGGCTCCCTCAGAAGGAAGAGAAAGGAATACATTTTCACTGGAAAAGTATGTTTTTGCAACACATACTTTTCACATATCTATGGAACACTGTAACTTCATGCCTTGTTAGTTAATACACACAAGTCTTGGGGCAAATCCAAGAGTCCATCTGGGAAGGGAGATAGGAAGTCTGAAATTGCAGATGTTAAATCTGGTTTTAGTGCTAAGCTTTAGGGAGAGTGAGAAAGAACACTTTGAAGCTAGTGTACAGACATATGGTCCATGGGGTTTTTTTTCTTTTTAAAAAAAATTGAGTCTGACATAGTACTAAAGTCAGTTTCCAAGCATTTGAAGTCCTAACAAGAAGTAACTGTTTTAGGAATGGAAAATCAGCTTCTTGGATGCAGGTGTCTTTCCCCATAAAAAAGCAGAAATGTTTTTATTGTTAGTTCAGGTCTTTGCTGGGAAACTAAACTCCTTACTTATAGCTATTGTCATTAGCAGTGGATTCACTTGAACTGGCATTGGAAATAGTCTAGTTGCTCGCGTAGATGAGATAATCATTTTCAGCAGTATTGCAAAGAGCGTAATTGCTCATTCAGGCAGACCCACTGCTGACCGCAGTTGTCAACAGTGGGCCACCTACCTGATGTAGATACGGCTTTAGAGGGATGCATTTCTCACCCCTTCTGTTTACTTCTTTAACATGCATTAAGTCATCTGCTTAAGTTCTGCAAAATGGGGAGAGGGGCTAAACATATAGGAGGAAGCGAGAATCAGAGAGAATGGGTCTAAATCCTGTTCAATTTATGATCGTTGCTACTTGTATGAATAAGATAAAGTAGGATTTGGTTCCTGATTGGGATGGAGGAAGGCTGAGCTCTGTTCCTTTTGTTCTCCTTTGTGCTGCTTTCTGTCCACTCTTGACTTACCTTTCTCATTTTATAAAAGTTTTTTGAAACTACTTTTGTTCACTTCATTTTTATCTTTCCCATTTCTTCAATTTTAAAAGCACACAAAGAACATTTTCCTCAGCTCCATTTTTTTTTAAAGATTAAAAATATCAGCGTTTATCATTTTACTGCTGCACTGCAGTTTCGCTGTGGATTCTCTGTTCGTGTGCCAGTTCACACATCAGGTGAGCCTGTGTAGTGGTAGCAGTATAGAGGATTTTAAATATCCATATGTTGACAAGTCAGCCGAGTTAGATGTAGGGGAGGAGAACTGTCAGTTTGCAGGGTGGAGTGGCGTGAGGGGAGGATCTTTTATGAGTATTGTGCAAGGGTAACTAAATTTTTCATTAGTTTAATGGCTACAAGGACAGTTTCACTTCTCTCCATTGCTCCTAAATTTAGGGTTCAGTGTGGCAACTCCTTAATTAAATCTGCTGAAAATCAGAAATCTTTGTGTAGCATTTCCTGATACTTCCTTTTACATACAGGTGTAAATTACCGTGTTTGGTGTTTTCAGTTATTTAAAATCCAGTGTGGAGTTGTTAGCGTAGATTTTCTGTTGTGAGTTATTCTACATTTTGTATAAAAGTGACTGCTGTTTTAAAGTGAGAATTAAATAGTAGTTCAGTTTTCCCTTTTTTTAATGCATCCCAGTTTGCGTAAAATGCTTGCTGTTCTGTAGTAGTTAAAATTTTGCCGATAAAACAAATAACTGAGGAAGTTTTGATCCAGACCAAATTTTGTATCTCAGATCCATTTCTGATTTTAACGTCTTGTATTTTAGGCAGCTTGGATGGATGATTAAGCATTACCTTATATTCATGAATTATTTACTCCTGGGGGATTCTGTGCCAAAAAATTCTGCGCCAAAAATTAAACATTTTGCACACAATATTTATAATTCTGCTTATTTTATTTGTCAACATAACAAAATGTAATCACACCAATTTCAATTATTTTTGTAATTTATTTCAAAATACCTGTCAGCAAGTATGTTTGTAACAATACAAACAACAAAAATATTCAGGTAATTTTTTTTTTTTTGGACAGATTCCTTACTAGGCATATTAATGGAGCAGAGGGAGAGGGAAGGAGCCTGGCAGAAAACGTGGAGGGTTGTTGGTGTGGGTGGAAGAAGTATGGAACAGGTTTTTGGCGGGGGAGAGGGAAGGGATTGTTAGGGAGTTGGAGAGCCTGACCCTGGCTGACCCCGAGCCTTTCCCATTCAGTCAGGCACATCTTCCCCTGTCCCCATGTGGCCATGCAGCACCCCTTCCATTCAGCCCCGGCTCAATGCTGTCACCCCATTAGCTCCCGAACCAGCACCCCAGCGTGTCATCCCCCCCACTAGCCCTTCTGAACCACAGTCTGTGACCCCCCAGCAGCCCTGTGTGCCCCATTCTGTCTGTCCTAACCTGACTCCGCAGGCAGGACACTGTGATAAATGCAGTCTGCCTCTGGCTGTTCTGGTGCCACAGCAGCCTCTGGTGGGTGAAAGGCAGAACTGCA